CTGCCCCCCACTGAGACCAGCCCAGCTCCAGCCGGTGACAGAGGAGCGATGTGGAAATAACCAGCTTGGAGCTGTCAGGAAGCCGAGCGGGGTAGGCAAGTCCTGCAAGCCCCATCCTCCCCCGGCCCCCTCCCCTGCTGCTCCAGGCCAGTTTCCTCGCTGCTGCCCAGGCCGTGCCTTCCCCCTGAGCCGCCTGCGCCCGCGCTCCCGCACCTGCGCTCTGCAATCAGTCCGCGGCAGCCCCTCCGTCTAACCGATTCCAAAAATATTAAGCCGGGGCCCATCTGTTGTCCAACTGATGAGCGCAGATGTGCTCGGGATTTCAGAGGCTGGCTGGCAACCGTTCAAAACTGTCAGCGCTCACACCTGCTGCTGCACATTTCCCCTTTCTGGTTCCACCCCCTGCAGAAAGACCCCCGCGCCCACCCACCCCAGCATCTCCTGGCAAAGTGGTCCAGCCGTTTCCCCCTCCGATGCTCGCGTCCTGCCTGGTGCATCAACACGTCTGTGCACACATGAGGGGGCTGAATTCGGTGCGTGCCAGCTGGGAGACTGGGAACAACGGCTGCAAAATCCAGGCCTGAGCTCTTGAGGCGGCGGCTGTCTGCGTAAAGGTGGTGCAGCACGTGTTAACTTTTCCGGTGGCAACAGGGTCCGAATGGCACCAGCCGGAGAGGGAAAATGATGCCCAAATTCCAGCCTGAGCCCTGGAGACCCTGGGCTCCTCTTCCCTGGCCCACAGAGCTGAAGCAAGGAGGGCCAGGCAGATGTCCCAGGCTGCTGGGGGAGGTTAGACATGAGCTGGCCTGTTATCCCCATCATACAGATGGGGAAGCAGAGGCACAACGGAGCAAAGTGACATGCCTGAGGTCCCACGGGGAGTCTGTGGCAGAGTGGAGAGTGTAACTTGGCTTCCAAGTCCTAGGCTGACCCCAGGCCACCCCTCCCATGCCTCTGCAGGCCAAAGAGTGAGCACGTACGCGCCACAATAACTGTGGCAAGTGCCCGAGGGAGGGGAGGTATGCAAAAGCCAGGAGACCCCGAGTCCTAGAAATAGTTAGTAGCGTCGCGTATGTACTGATCCTGGCTCGTGCTGGTTGTGCTCTCACCCGCTCCACTGCAAAGTTGGATGGAGGTCGGGGGGATGAGCACGGTCCCCCTCGATAGGAAGAAACTGGAGCAGGCTGGTCCCGAGCAGAGGCAGCCGCACCTGTCCCGACCCGTCGGGATACAGGACAGCACAGCTCTGGCTCATGCCTGCAAATCCCCCATTGCTCCCTTCCCAGCTCTGGGTTGCTTTCCGTGCCTGCCAGGGCTGCGCAGGCCACGCCTGCTCCTTGGATCTCTGGTTGAAGGGCTGCCCATGCTCTTGCCCCGGTATCTCTGGCCATGCTGCACAGCCCCGTGACCCCCTCGAGCTCAGGTAGCAGCAGGTGATCCACCCGTGTGGACCAGACCCGTATCCGGGTCCTGACTCGTTAGAACCGATAGACTCAAAGCAGGTGAATTAGCGGCGGAGGAAGCCTGGTTACTAGTTTCAGTAAGCTGATGCATCTCTGATTTAGTTAGTCTATAAGGTGCCACTTGACCTTGCCCTCTGCCTGACTTCAGACTAACATGTTAACCCCCTTTCCCTGGTTATCAGTCCTCGCTGATGCCCGAGTCACGGGTGACTTGAGCTGTTGGCGTGATCTGCTTGGAGCCTAAACCCGTGGTGCTCAAACTGCCTCAGTTTACCTATCGCTGCTGGAAGGAGCGGCCGCAGAGTGGGGAGACGGGCTCTGAAAGGACCAGCTACATCCCTCTACACTGGGCGAGGTGAGGGCAGGGACGGCAACCCCCGTGCGGGGCGTTGTGGGGAACGGATGCCCTTGTCCCTGTGCAACGGTGCTGCTGCGTGTGGGGCCTTTCTGTGGGTCCAGCACCTCTGCAGGATTCTCCGGCTGCTCTGAGCTGTGTTTTCAGCAGCCGTGACCCTGCCCTGGGCTCTGCCAGGCCCGGGCTGCAGGATCGGGGCCCACACGCTGCAGGTGCAGCCCCCCGGAGCGCGTGCAGCTCTTCGCGCTCCGTAAAAGCAGCCAGGTCCAAACCTGGGCTTCGGGTTTGCAACCCAACAAAATGCCACCGTGGCTCCGGTTGCTAGCGAGACTCTCCCAGGTCGGCTGCAATGATCTCCCAGCCTGCCGAGGGAGTCCACGCCGGCACAATCCCCTTCTAAATGAAGCCCTCGCGGAGCGATTAGGAGCAGAGGGGTCTCCGCTGCGCTGCAGAGATATGTCGGGAGGGAGGGGGGAGCCTCATCTGTCTGTCTGGGGCGGTGGCCGCGCCGTCTGAAGGGGTCCTGTGCGATGGGGAGCGATTAGGATTAGCTGCATCCAAGGGGAGAGTTTTGCGCCAGATAGAGATGATAATGGGGCCCGCAGGGAGGATTAGGGTCCGAGGCAGCTGCCATCTGCATAGCTGCATGGCATGCGTCTGCTGCCGGAGGCTCCCTGCGCTGCGCTGGATGCTGGCGCGGTGCCGTGACCTGCTTACGTGGCGTGGGCTCGGCAGGTCACGGGTGTGCGGGGAGCAGGGTTTTGCTCCTGGCTGCAAAAGTTTCGCTTGAGTTTTCAAAGGAAAGGTGCTGGCTTTAGTGCGATGGCATGGTATTTAGGCCACAGACGTGGGCTGGAGGCCTGTCTGGAGGAGGTGTCGTGGTTCTCGTGGCTGGGAGCCAGCAGCCTGCATGGTGCTGGGGGATCTGCTTGGGGCGCCGCGGGTGCCCGTGTCTGGGCCTGTCTGAGCTGTGCCAGCTTTGGGTGCTCAGCAGCTATGAAAAATGAGGCCCTTCTTCCTGCGGTGTGTCACCTCTGCCATCTCTAGGAGGGCTGGGAGGCTTCGCCCGTCGGGTGCTGTCTGAGCCTGGGGTGAGCTCATGCTACATTACCTGTGGAGAGCTGGCTTCCCATCACATGGGCATGCCTGGGCAGACAGATGGGTAGTGCCTGGGATGCTGCAGACCTGTTCAGCTGAGTGTGAAAGCCAACAGAGCTGGCTTTTGCCACGGGGATGTGATGGACCAAGACCGAGGACCCGCACGGGCCGTATCTCTGGTGCACAGTGGCGGGGACTGGTGCACAGTGATGGCTGTGCACGTGGACAGACCCCAGGGACCACACGGCTCTCGGCCTCTTTCTCGGGGGGGGGTTTCCTCCCGCCCCACAGCTATGCACCGTGTTGATTCGGCGTGGGGAAAGAAGGGGCGATTTGGCGTGAAGGACGTGGTCCCGGCTGCTGCTCTCTGGGGAGGGGGCCAAGATGTTGGGAGGCTCTGGGGCCGAGTCATGGGCTGCAAACACAAAGCCATCTGCCCGCCCTGTCGTTGGGATTATCGAAGGGCTCCCGAGCCCCTGTCTTGTCTCCTGCTCCTGCCATATACAGGGGCATCGCCCCGAGGAGCCAGCTCGGTCTCTCTGCAGGGACTGCGCTGCAGGGTCTTTTGCATTTGGACCCATGCACTGGAAACGACCCGGTGGTTCTGGGTCGGACTGCGCCTGACTCTCCTTCCCTTGCATGCATAGCTCTGGTCCATCCTGCGAGGCGGAGCTCATGTTTCGGGGCACAGGGCTTTTGTGGGGGCACATACTGCTTTGACCCCTCCCCCTGTCATGTGGTGGTGCCCCCTCTCTGAGACCACGTCTTTGCAGTCTCTTTCTCCCTTTCCAGAGACCCCAGCTGCTTTGCAGAGGGTGTGTACTGTGCAATGCCACCCCCCGCTCCCCGAATAGGTTCTGGGCCCATGCAGCCCGCGTCGACTGCAAACCCCCGGCTCCAAAAATAGGTGCCACCTTGTAAAGGAAGCAGATGGAAGCGCGGAGCCCCGCTGTGCCTCGCAGCCGTTCCCACACAGCTGTTCCCAGCCCGCCAGCTCTGGTTCTGCTAACAAACAGCCCCGGCCTTAGCAGCAGCTGACAGCAGGGCCGGGGCCGGCTGCCCCGAGCGTCCCCCCGGGCGAGCGCCCGAGCCGAGGCAGCCGGTCCTGCTCGCCGCTGGGCTGGGAAGCACCGGGGAACCGACCTCTGCTCGGGTCACGGCCAGGGAAACTCCAGCGCCGGGGCTGGGTGGACACAGCGCTGCCTGCTTCCTTTTGGCCAGGGTTTGAGCGTCCCAGCCAGGGCTTCCCAGGCATCCTGCACCCAGCTGTCCCTGAACGGGCCCGATCCTGCATAGCCGAGCCCAGGAAAGGGCTGGGGAGATGCTTGCCATGCAGAGGGGCTCGGGGCACTGCCCGGACAGCGCAAGGAGCCTCCCTTTGTGGGGGGGGGGGCCATGCCCAGTCACCTCATCTGCCCTCTGGGGAGGGGATGGCAGGGCTGTGCCCCCCAGTTCTGAGCACCCACGAGGGGGTGGAGGAAAAACCAGCTCGGCGGTGGCTGGTGCTTGTCAGGGTGATGGAGCGCTAGCACCTCTGGAGAGAGCGGGCCCAGCCGGACCGTGCTTGGCAGGCCACGCGGTGCCGCCGAAGGTGACGGGGCTGTCTGGTGATGCCTCATCTCGAATCCTGCTGGGATTGCCTGGGGGAAAGACAGGGAGGTGAGAGAGCCCCCTCGTAGAGAGCAGCAGGCGTGCGGGGCTGGCTATGTGCAGAGCCAGGGCACACCTTGAGGACACCCCGCTTTGCCCAGGGCTTTGTCTTGTGCAGCACCATCCAAATTGCTCCCTGTGTGCCGGGCTGCTGGTTCATAGGCTTTGCTGGGGCAAGATTTGCCTGGGAACTTCTCCAAGGAGCAACCTCACAGGAAGCAGGAAAGGGGAGTCAGGATGCAGGGCTGTTCCTGCTGGAGCCGTGCCACAGCGTGGCCCAGCTGGATAAGCCCTTTTATGCATTGGGGAACAAAGCCAGGGGCAGCTCTGGTGCACGGTGCACTCTGCATCACAGCTGGAGCCGTGACCTCGGGCTGGCCCGTCGCGGCAGCTCCTGGCTCTCCTCCGCGTTGAACGCGCTCCTTCCTCCACAGCCTCTACTGCTTGCAGACCATTGCTGTGAGCCGCTGAACCCCAGCAACAGCTGCATTTTGGTCTGCGTCTGCCCAGGGGAATCCATTTGCACTGAACGAGGACGTGGCCTGCAGGCATCCAGCTCGGAGAGGGCTCCCACCTGCTCGCCTGCTGTAGGCAAGCCCGGGAGAGATGTGCAAGGTAGCTGCCCTGAGCTATGTGGAGGCGGGAACGTGTTGCAGGGGCATGTTGGGGGCCAGACTGCCTGGACATGGGGCTTTATCTCAGTGCATTGCAGCAGTGAGGGTCAGCCAGGCCCCTGGGACCCAGAGCCAGTCCACACCCCGGGCTCTAGTTCTCCCTCACCAGTCCCAAGGTGTCTGCATCGTGCAGGCAGCTTTTGGGGTCAGACCTGTCTCTACTCAATCTGCAGAGAAGACCAAGCTGGGTGACAGCAGAGACACAGCACCACGGGGTCAGGACCAGCAGGTAGCATCAAATCCAGGATGGCTAGTGGTTGGAGCATGAGGCAGGGAGCAAAGGCTTCTGCAGGGCAACTCCGCCACTGGGTCACTCTGCGCCCTTGGGCACACCCATCATCCTCCCTGTCTTCAGGCTGGGGTGATGATGCCCGTTCTGGTTTGCAAGCAGCTGGCAAGGGCCCCTACGGAGCAGTGCTCCCAGAGAGGGCAGGAAGGCGGCTGGAGCAAGGAGGGAGCTTTGCTGAGTAGGAGGCTGGCCAGATGCTATTCTGCTGGCCCTCGGCTCAGCTTCTCAGGCCCCTGGGCCACGCGGTCCTCTCTGGGTGCTGCCTCCTGGCCTCTTCACTGCAAACCTTTTCTCATTTGCAAACCCTCTGCTCTTTTGCAGCTAGTTACAGCTCATGCAAGGGAGAGGAGAGGTGATCCCTGCCCTGCCTGCCTCTTATCTCCCCCAGCCTGGCAGCAGACGGGGCATTTGGGGCTGCTTCTGCTTGCCCCCAGGAGTAGAAGGATGCAGCGGTTGCAGGGGAATATGTACGACACGATGGAGACAGCATCAAGGGAGAGGTCCCTGAACCTGGCTTTCGGAGGTGCAGGAAAGGAGCAGTGAGCACAAGCCCATTGCACCCTGGTGCTGGTAGGTAGCACGCCTGGGTTTCATGCCAGCATTCGAGCCTGCCAGCTTGGGGTGGGCTTGGGGCACAACGGCAGCTCGTTGCAGTCAGACACCATTGTATGCCGTAAGCAGCGGTGCCAACGTAGAGATAGATATTTCCTGGACAGGGGCAAGCGGTGGAGCTGGGGCTATTGGTGGGAGTCCTCAGAGCCAAAGGGACCCCTCTGCTAGCTGCCAGCGTGCGCATTGCCCCTCTGTGCCCTGTTGCGAAGAAGGCTACTGGCATCCTGGGCTGCATTGGGAGGAGCGCTGCCAGCAGATGGAGGGGAAAGTGATTCTTCCCCTGGATTCAGCACTGGGGAGGCCGCATCTGGAGTCCTGCGTCCAGTTTTGGCTCCAGAAAGGATGTGGACAAGTTGGAGAGAGTCCAGCGGAGGGCAACGAAAATGGTTTGGAGGCTGGGGCACAGGACTGGTGAGGAGAGGCTGAGGAAACTGGGCTGATTGAGTCTGGAGAAGAGAAGAGCGAGGGGGATTGAATAGCAGCCGTCACCTCCCTGCAGAGGGGCTGCAACGAGGACGGAGCTGGGCTGGTCTCAGTGGGGGCAGACGACAGAAGGAGCAATGGGCTCCAGCTGCAGCAAGGGAAGTTGAGGTTGGATATTAGGAAAAACTTCTCACTAGGAAAGTCGTAAAACACTGGAACAGGTTACCCGGAGAGGTGGTGGACTCTCCATCCCTGGGGGTTGTTAAGCCCCAGCTCAACAAAGCCCTGGCTGTGATGATGGAGTTGGGGCTGGTGCTGCTTGGAGCAGGGGTTGCACTAGATGTGCCCTTCTGAGCTCCCTTCCACCCTCATGTTCTCTGATTCTGTGGAAAGCTTCCTCCCTGCTCGAGCAGCGGGGGAACGGGATGAGCTGCCCCACAGACCTGGTATCGCCTTCATGGGAGACTTCAAGCGGAGGCAGGACAGGCACCCATCTGGGCTGGCTCAATGGGCAGGGAATCCGGCATCGGTGCAAGGCCCCCCTCGAGGATCCTCCCCGCCCCGCCGATCCGTAATCACCCGCTGCGGCTCATTCTCAGACCCTCTCCTGAGTCCTGCTCCGTGCCACCAGGAAAGGCAACCCCCACCGTTGCCAGCCCCTGTTTGCAATCTCAGGGTTGCTCCCGTTCACAACTAGCTGCAACAGGGGGTGGGCATGGAGGCTGGCATGTTGAAAGCGGTGGGCGCTAGCAGGTGGAGAGTGGTGCATGGGAGCAGGGAGGGCATCGGGGGACTGAGGCAGGTGTGCAGGGGGACAGAGCGTGGACGCGGGGGTCAGAGCCCGGCAGGGAAGCCGACAGGCTCATTACTGCGGGAGAAAGATAAAAGCCTGGCCTGGCATTTACGAGAGGAGCGTTTTGTGCCGAAAGCCCAGGTGCTTAGTCTGCCGGCTTCCTACCGGGACCTTTCAGCACTCATGAATAAGGCATGCACTCACGTACAATGCAGGAGCTAACAAGGCCCTTTCCTCCCCATGCCCTACATGGAGCTCGGCACACGTGTGTGCATCCAGACCGTGCATGAGAGAGGACACGTGTGCATGCACGAGCCTGTGATCCTGTGTGATGATGCATGTGTGGGATGCAGAGGGCCAAAGAGATCTGTGAATGAGGCAGGTCAGTGTGTGTGGGCATGTGCCTGGCTGGGTGGATGCACCTTTGCACACTTATGTGTGTGTATGTATTTCCCCCTGTGCATGCACACACTCATGTGCACGTGAGTGGCGGCAGCCTGCCAGCAAACACGTCTGAAGGTTAAGGCAGCCGCGCCTGCCACTCTGTAATTACAGAGAGAGTGGAAGTTTGAAGTTTGGATAAAGCTTTAATTGAAGTCCTGGCTGCTGTTAATTATATTAAAGAGAGAGTGAGCAATGGGCTTTTTATTAGTTAATGAGGATTTTCATTTTCCAGCAGCAGGGCCCTTTGATGTGTTCAGGACTAATGGCTGTTAAATTAAATCGGTTTGTTTTTCCCCTTGGTTAAGAGGAAGCGCGGAGCCGTCACCTGAGCTAGTGCAGGAGAAAGGGAGCTGCTCTGGATAATGAAGCCACTTTCCCAGCCCGAACCCTTCTAATGGCTCTGCATTGTAAAGCCCACGGCCCTCCGTGCTGGGGGCTGTGCGTGCAGGTCGGACCTGCTATTGCATTTGGCAAACACGCCGTTTAAAAGCATCGCTGTGCTGGAAAGGGTCCTGTCCAGGGCACAGCAGGACGGCCGGGGGGGGGTGAGGGCGGCGGGGGAAGGGCGGGGAGCGACTTTTGCTCCTGACGTACTGACGGGTGACACGTGTTTTGGGCGGTCTAAGGCAGCACCCCAGCCAGGCCCGCCGGGGACACGGGCCAGTACGGCACTGACACCACCGACATCAGTGGCCAAACTGCTGCCGATGTTTCCCTCTACAAGACTGCAGCAAAGCAAAGCTCTTCAGGGTCTCCTGGCTCGTCTCGGGACACGGGCCAGTACGGCACTGACACCACCGACATCAGTGGCCAAACTGCTGCCGATGTTTCCCTCTATAAGCAAAGCAAAGCTCTTTAGGGTCTCCTTGCTCGTCTCCAGAAAGACTCAGCTGTACGTCGCTGGCTGGAGATGAGGTCTCCGACTGGTCTAGATGCACCCCTGCCACGCTGCTGCCACCTCCCCAGCGTGGCGCAGAGCAGCCGGGGCGTTGTTCCACCGCTGCACGGTGTCCCGGGAGGCATCGTGGGGTCCTGGCAAGGTCTGCAATGCTGCAAGGTGGTCGAGCCAAATGAAGCCTGGCCAAACACAGGGGGATGTGACTGGGAGTCGGGAACGCACGACCCACATCAGTGCAGCTCGTTTGAACTAGGGGCAGGGGCTCCTTGCAACGAGAGGCCTGATCCCACATCCTCACCAGCAAGGCAGAGCCTATTGCCCCAGCTCTGCACAGCCCTCCAAGAATAAGCAAGACTTTTTGCTGCCATGTGGCATGTACACGGCCTGACCGGCCCAGGTCCCCCAAAGCCCTTCTGAATGGGGCACAGGTGGGTTCCTGCCCCCGCCACCTGAATTTCTTCGGGTTACTCTGTATTGGTGGCCGGTAGAGCAGAGCAGGTCCCTCTCGGAGATCAGCAGCTGGGTGCAGATGTCTCCGCCTGGGCTCTCTCGCGATGGCATCCCGAATCATTTGCAAACAGTTTGCTGGGAGTATTCAGGCTCCAGCATCCAGAACTCGGTGCCGTGCTGGTTGCCCCCAGGAGCTACGTGGGGCTGGAGCTGGTCCCCAGCTGGGGGCAGAAAGGGAGGGGTGCTGGCAGCACAGGGAAGGGGTCGAGGTCTCCAGCCGGCTGCCCAGGCCTTACCTGGACACCCAAGTGGCCTGGGCTGCAGAGGGGACAGTGACTGTGCCAGCGACCTGCAACCTTCAAGTTCACGGCCAGAGCTCGGAGCCCTCCCTTGCAGCTTCGGCTGGCATTAGAAATCCAGCCACGTGCATTGGGTACCTGACCTGCATCTCTCTTCCTCCCGGGGTTTCCAGCCCTCCCTGATGGGAGCCAGCGGGTCCATGCAAGGCCAGCACCTGGGAGCCCCCATGGCTGGAGGGTCTTCTGCTAGCTGCAGCTCCGAAACGCAGCCCCTGTGCATCGGGGTTGCGGAGGAGGACGTGGGGAAGCAGGATACGTGCAGCAATCCCGTCCCTGCCCCTCTGATGGCAGCGTGGGAGCGGGGTGGGAGGCTCTTGGGGATTGCCTCGGTGGGGCGGGTGGGGGGAGTCCCGCGCTAGCGGCGTTCCCCGTTAATTACCCCTCATCCTCTCCTTCCTCAGCAGCCCGGGGACGTGCGGGGCCTGGCAGAGGAAGTCGAACTCGAGCTATCAATGGTCCTGCCTTGATGGGAATAAAATATGCACTGAAAGACATGAAAATGGAGTAAATAAAAGAGATAAAAATGGAACGATCAAGCCAGCAACTTCTCCTCCTCTGATTAAAAAGAGAGAGAAGGGGGAAAGCGGGCGGGGGGGCGCCCGAGCCCTTGAAGAGGCAGCTGCTGCAGAAGCCGAAGCCTGATAAAGGGTCTGAGGCAGCCTGTTTGGAAGAGATAAAGTAGAGCCCCAGCATTTACCATCCTCAGTCCAAGTCTTACCATCAATATTAATACAGCCTGACAAACTGGCATTTAAGATAGAATAAATATAGACTGGTTCTGCTATTACCTAGACCTTATTAATCTGCTTGCAGGCATTTAAATGCCGTTAAAAATGTGGAGTTTACTCGCCGGCGCTTCAGTGGCTTCCCAATTCATCACGGCTTTGTTTCCCCCGCTCCACCCGCCGTCTCCGAGTCCCAGGTGACCCACGTTCAACTTGGTGGGGCGGCCGCGGGGGTAGAAGGGAGAAGGTGACAGGCAGGAGCGTTGTTTCAGGATAATAGCGACTGTTGGGAGATCGGCGCGGCGGAGGCATAAACCTCTTGGGACCGAAGAATGGCGTGTAACTTGGGGCATCGCAGGCCAGGAAATCTCCATCCCGGCCACAGGGTTGCCTCAATGTTGCCCACCCCACACACATTTTGGCAGTTCAGGAGCCTGCAGTTGACAGCTCCTGGCTGGATGTCCCAGCCCTGCCTGGATGGAGATGCCTATATTGCAGCTCCAAGTTTCTGGACTGGAAAATATAGTCACCCCCTGCCCCAGCTGCAGCAGGCGAGGAGGTAGGAGGTAGCTGGGAAGCAGGAGGACGGCATCAAGGCAATGCCCCCCACTCCAGAGCCAGCCGTGGGTGCAGATGCTGCAGACCCACGGGGCAGGACGCGGCCGTCAAGCCCCCTCCGGCCTGGAGCCTGCACTCTCCGCGGTGGGGGGTGCTCGTGCAGAGATGCTTCGGGTCCCTGATCTTGCAACAGGCTTGGTCTCAGGGGCGGGCGCAGGTACTAGCGAGGCGGTGGGGTCTCCATCGCTGGACGGGGTTAAGAGCAGGGGGGATGAACCCTTGACCGGGCTGGGGTGGCGGGAACTATGATCCTAGTCCCTCGCAGGAGAGACGGCCAAGTGCTTCGGCCCCATCCTGAGTGAAGCTGCCATGAAGCGGCTTGTCTTGCATTACATGCAATAGAAAACACTGCCTCTCAGGGGCTCGGGCTGTGACGCAGGCTCCCGCCTGCCCCAGGTCCTGAAGGCTCAGACGAAACCATTAGGATCCTCTCTTTCATGCTCCCACGCAGCCCAGGCCCGAGATCTTCACTCTGTTGCCTCTGTGTGCTGCCCCTACCCGCTCTTTTGGGCTATGGGGTCTCTTTAAGGCATCCCGGCTCCAGACACATGATGCACCTGCAGCTTCTTCCTCAAATTGCTCCAGCGGGTAATTACCTTCATTGTTTAAAAACCATGTACCTTATTGCTAGTCCGGCTTCAGCTCCTGGCTCCGAGCTCTCGCTCCGCCCGTGTCTGCTTGACATGAAGAGCCCTCTGCTATCAGATCCGTCCTCCCCAGGTGGCACTTACAGACCCCGATCACGTCCTCCCCTTATCTTTCCCTGGGGGAAATCTAAGTAGATTGAGTTTCTTTAATTTTGCCCTGCAAAGCAGGGTTTTGAAGGATCGGGTCACGGTAGGAGCAGTGGGTCTTCCCACAGTGGACAGGCCTTTCAAAGCGGCTCTGCCCAATCTCCCTCGAAAGCAGCGCCGTTCGAAGGGATTAGACGTCTATTAGAGAGACAGAGCGCTGAACTCCGTCTCGAGGTACGGCCGTCCGAGCCGCGGGGTGTCAGTGGCGCTCCGCGGATCACCTGGGGACAGAATTGGGGCCAGTGCACTTATGCTAATGCTTTTCAAAATGCCTCAAATGCACCGGAGGACGCCTGGAAAAAAAAAATCAATGGGCGCGAGACCGAGCCGCTGCAGACTAGCTAACTAGCATATTGGCAGTGCCAGCAGGAAGCATATGTTGCAAGGGAGAGACGAGGCAATGGTTAATCAGACTTCCAGCCGCGTCCCCCGGGCTGTCGCACCGGGGGCGGTCGGGGAGAAGCTGTCTGCGCTGCGCTCCTCCGGAAAACCCTCCAGGCCCCGGCTCCAGGCGTGCGAAGCCTCGTGAGTGTAAAGGGGCTTCACGTGCAAGCTGCGCCTTCGGCCGGGCACTGTCCCTCGACGGGGACCTCCGTCCAGGAGCTGACACGGCCGGTCTCTCAAGGCAGCCTTGAGAGCAGGCCTTTCATCCGGGAGCACCGTGGAGGCTCTCAAGGCAGCCTTGAGAGCAGGCCTTTCAACCGGGAGCACCGTGGAGGTATTTTGCTGGTGGTGTGAGGGACGGTATTTTGCTGGCGGTGTGAGGGACAGGTGCTTGGAGGTGGCCTTGGGCACCCAGTCCCTGCCGCCCTCCCAGTTGGTTTCAAACTGGCCGGTCCTGCCTTTCAGCGGCAGGTCTCGGCTGGATCCACGGAGCCTGTTTCCCCTCATTTTCCCCAGGATAAAGCTGTCTCTATTTGAGAATTGCTCGTCTTGAATTGCCAGCTGCATTCTGGATTAGCAGAGGCTGCCGGTGCACAAAGGGGACGTTGAAAGGAAGAGCTCCACCTAGAAAAGAAAGCAATTCCTGGAGGAGCCGCTCTGCAGATGCCTCCCGGCTCCGGTGAAGGGTTGGCAGGCACGTGAGCTGGAGTTTCATTAGAGAGCTGCCTGCTCCTCCTTCCTCTTGCGGTTTCGTGGAGAAAGTTTTCATGGCCCCTAATTCCTTTGGCCTAGAGCCTTGCTTCTGCCTGGGGAGGTGCCGACCGACACGGAGACGCTCCTGTTTCAGCTCCTGAAGACAACGCCTCTCCCCCTGGTTTCCATTTGGAAGTAACTTTGCACTTTGACATTCCTTCGGCATGACGCCTCCTCGGGCAGCATCTCGCAGCCCGATCCCAAAGCAGAAAGTTTTAAAAAAATCTCCATGAAGGGAAGATTTCCCCCCAAGTGATGCTTTGGACGCAGGGGGAGATGTTGGGATGTTCTGAATTTTTTTTCCTGGGGGAGGATTTGGAAATTTGGGGGATTTGCTCAGCTTGGGAGCAAAGCCACGTCTCCAAATCTGGAAGCCTGTTCCCAGGCAGCACTGCCATCCCCCGCAGACCCTGCTTTGATTTATTTTCATTCTGCTATGGCGTAGGGACACGGGAGCCTTCTCCAAGAGGCAAATGGCAGGGATCCTGCCGTACGTCGGAGAAAAAGGCAATGTGAAAAGAGAGCTTTCTCCGAGCCGGACAGATCAGAAGAGGGAGTGCCTCCCTCCTCAGGCCGACTTTGTCCGCCAGCCTCTGGCTTGGAGATTGTGGGCACGGAAAGGAGCAAAAGGAAGTACAGAAAAACTCAAGCTCATCTTGCTAGTGAGGGCTCGCTCATACTGGGGTGCCAGCCTCTGAATTCAAAGCTTCGGCTCCAGGAAGCAAGCTCCCGGTTGTCGGTCTGAAGCTGTGACAGCTGAAAAGGTTTCTGTTTCCTGGGCACAGATGAGATGCAACCGAGGAAGCGATTGAGAGCAATGTGGAGATTTGAAAGGGCCGAGCTGCAGACTGGGTGCTTGTCTTCATTGGGGATCTGCTGTTTTTAAAGGCTCTGGAAGGATTTGAACCATCAGACTGCCTTCTGACCTCTGCACCCCTGGACATTTTGCATCCCTGGACGTTTTCAAGCACAGCTTAGATGCTCGGCAGGGAGGGTTTAGTCAGGGGTGGTCCTGCCTTGAGCAGGGACCTGGACTAGGCGGCCCCAGGAGGTGCTTTCCAGCTGACTTCCCTGGGATCCCGTGGTGGTGAGCTTGGCAGACCGCCGCTGCTCCAGTGTTTCCCAGTGTAACTGGGATCAGACTCCGGCCCTCATTTCCGGTGTCTTGCAGGGTACGTGTAGAGTGGCCAATGCATGTTTTGGGATGGACAACAGAAAATCCACTGCAGCCATTTGGGAAGAGCGCCGAAGCACAGACGTGCTGGGCTTCGAGCTCAGATGCCTCCCAGAGCAGGGCAGAGAGCAGCTGTTATGGACAGGTCCTGCCTAGGGGATACAAGGGCTCCAAAATCCCGGGAGATGGAGATTTCTTCTCCTTGCCTTCGGTTCCCCACAGCGAGCGTGGTCTCTGCAATGAGCCTGTCACCATCCCGTGCCCCAAACCCTTGCCGGTCTCATGGCTTTTTTGCTGAGCCTGGCGTCAGAGTGCCCCGTGCCCGCCGTTCGATTTGAAACCGAGCCCAGCTCTCGCTCAAGAGTTGTCCAGCTTGCAGGCTTGAGTCAAAGCCAGCTGGAGTTAATGGAGAGACTTGCATGGGCTGGAAACGCTCCCCTCCGGCGGCACGCTCTGCGTGGGCCGTGCTGGAGGCGAGAGTCCCGTCTCCACGCTGCCGCGGGGATCTTTCTCAAGCACGTAGGGCTGGGAGGGAGGCAAAGCGTGTGCCCCCGTCCTGTGCTGTGAAGCGGCCGGGGTCTGGGTCATTTCATGGACTGGGAGGTTGGGTGTTTTCCCGTGTTTCCCTATTAGCTCGACATCGGCACCTTGGTTTCTCCACCTGGCTCCATGACCGCTGGTGCCATCCAGGGAGGAAAAGCGTTTTCCCCAAGGACCAGTGCCCCCAGCCCTCCAGCCCAGCCCCGAAATCTTGCTGCAAAATGCAAGTCTCCAGAGGCCCAAGATAAAAAACAACGGGACTTTCCAACAGCGAGGACTTCATGTCTTGGGATCTTGCCTGTTTGTGCTGTCACCGGCCAGGCTACTGCATAGGCCGCAGTGTCACGCATGGGGATGGACATCATTACATCGCAGCCAGAGCCGGGCAGGATCAGGGCCCCATTGCGACGACTGCTGTGCAAACGCACAGCCCCGGTCCCAGGGGATCCAGCACTCAGGGAGACGACTGGAACGTGTCCCGCTGCCTCCGCTCATCTCTTTTTGGTTGTTGTTTCTTAGCATCTGTGCCCAGCACAGGGCCCACCGGGCTGCTTTGGGCTGGCTCTGGGTTCCCGTTTCCAGCCCTGGGGCTCTGGCGTCCCAGACCCGGTGCTGCGAAGCAAAGGGGGCTGCATTGTCGTGTTGGGGGTTTCTCTCCTGAGCGAAGGTCTTTGCAACTGCAGGCAGCAATTTGCAATAGTAGCATGAGCCGAGGACGTCTGCTGGTGTGTGCCACGTGGCAGCTTGCCCTTTAGTAGGAGTTCATGCCCCACGTCCTATGC